TAATTTATTTATTTTCGTTTATTGTATATTTGTTTCTTCTCTCTCTCTCTCTCTCTCTCTCTCTCTTCATCGTTATATGTCTTTTTTTTTATTCCTGCCTCTCTCTTTTATAATGAAATTCCATTAATTGTCCATTGATATGATCAATTTTCAATTATAAATTAATTTTCCAAGCTATTTCTTGGAATCCGAGAAAAAAAAATAAAGTAAAAATGTTGTAAAAATTGCAATACAAAATCATATAAAAAAATTCATTATTTTCCAATGCAACAATATTATTCTTTATTACGTGTTGATGTTGCGCTTTAATAACACCAGTGATCTAAGCTCGAGCAATTCCTAGAAAGGAAGAAACTTGTTAAAATTCCATTACTTCGATATCATCGATCTTTATTTATGTAGCATTTTATCGTATTTATTTTCACATTTTTTCAAACCTTCTTCTCTTCGCCTTCGAGTTAAATTTTTTGGTAAAAAAAAAAAAAAAAACAATACGAGTCAAATTCATCGATGTACTTGAAAATAAAGGTATCTTAATATCTAGTTGGTTTTTTAAAATTATATCTTCTTTTGCTTTTTTCTTTTTTTCGTTCGTAAACGAAATAGATAGATTAGATATAAAAATCATACGTTTCGTAAATCATTGAATAGTGAAATAAAATTGTTTATAAAGTAATAAAAAGAATAAAAAAATGTATATAATATTTTATATATATATCAAATTAAAATTAAAAATGGATATCGAAACAATAAAAAATAGGTATAAATTTATTAAACCTCCATAACTTTACGTGAAATTTATATAAATATTTATATTTTGTCTGTATTTGTCTATTATTTTTAATGTTTTTCATCACTTTTTTTTTTTTTAGAATTAGATGAAAGTAATCATTATTGATTTTTGTATCGCGAATTAAAATAAAGATGTGAAAAAATGATGGTTCTTTCAGTCAGCAAAGTAAATAAAACAATTCCTGTTACAGAGGTTTAACACATTTATTACCAACAGATATTAGATATGTCTCTTGTATGGATATTGTTTCGAACGTTGATGGAATAATCGTACGTGTAATACATATTAAACTTAAAGTAGAAACTTAAAAAGAAAAGTATTATTATCGTAATATTAAAGAGAGAAGAGAAAGAAAGAAAGAAAGAAAGATTTATCACGTGCATTGTACAGTTTAAGAATAAAAGAGAGAGAAAGGAATACAATAGCGATCGAGTACAATTGAAGTAGTAGCTTTACTCTTCGCTCACATCCCTTACAATGAGAAAAATGACACGTCTTTTTATCGTTTCGTTTTACATCGAAGCTACAGTTTGCAAAGTTAATATGTACTCTTTGGTATGATTACACAGAGTCGGAGGTTGTGTTCTCCCTATTTATATAACCGTGACGAACGGAAGCCCAATAGAAAATATCTATGAACGCGTTGACCAATGTAATTCGTACATAGAAAAATAAAGATCGTGTCGATGCGTCGAAAGGAACACTTGCGCTTAGAAAAATAAAAGCTTGTCATTCGATTAGTGGCTGCCAGTAAACTAAATCCTCCTCTAAGTTTCTCCGATTCGCTCGAAATTTCCAGATTATTTCCATTTTTCACCTTTCGAACAATTTCCATCTAATTTTTTTTTGTTAATTAATTACACCATATTGAACCAAACAGAAAATACAATCTTTTAAAAGTTTCAAAATTATTTTCGATAGATATAATAATAATAATATGTTACATAAAATCTATGTTACACAAAATATTCGAGTATTATTGAAAAATTGATCGATAGATGCGAAAATTGAATTGGATTTTTTCTTTTTTTTTTTTTACCATTGAAAGAACCAACGGACACAACTTTTGTATTCGTGTAACAGCAATTTTTAGTATGTCATGTCTTATAATAGCATCGATGATGCGTTCCACTGATAATTGTTCCGAATATAATTCCTGTTCCAATATTACCGTTTTCGGTCAATATCGATATCGAAACGATTGCCGTTGTAGGTGTGTGTTATTATTATCGGAAAATTCGAACAGATAGGATTAATCGGAAATTCGAGCGAAACGAGAAGCGACCGATGATATTTAGTTGGGTCAGTGACAGCGTTCCATCGGGTGAAGCCAACAATTTCTACGTTTAAATGTGTCATTGAAAAAAGAAGAAAACACGTTTAAAATGTCATTGATTAAACTTTTTAGAATAATTTAGTAAAAAATACGATATTAAGATTCAACAATCTTAATAAATAAATTAAAATAAAATTAAAATAGAGACAAAAGAACAAGGAGCCAAGCTTCGTTTTCAATTGTGAGACGAACTTGTGCAAACAATGCAATACCACGGAATATTGCGTTATTTCTCTATTTCCATTTTTCCAGTAGTTAGACTTTATCCAACAACTTTGTTGTGTACAAACGTCGTATTTCAATTCGCAATCGTGCGCAATCATTAATCGAGACTTTAGCGTGGCATCGATTAATCACGCATGCACCGATTCCACAGAGAGAGTTTTTGCACTGGCCACGGTTGAAAATTTATTCGGACAGCTGTCACTGACACACGAAAAACCATTCAGGTTTTCCTCTCGACGGTCAAAAAATCTATTATTTCTACAAATTATTTCACCGGGAATCTATTCGATCAGCTCGATTATCGGACGATGGCAACGGTGATAATGATATAATGACGATGACGGTGATAATAATAATAATTAATGAATCGCCCTTAGGGACGTTGATCAAAGGGTGGATTGTGTACACGTAAGCAACATGTAACACACACGCCGCACACGAAATGACACGCGATGATCGTGGTCACTTAGAAAAACAGCGATCGCACACTCGACACATCGTTTCCACTCGCGAGAAATACTTATTCGTCGCCAAATATATTTACAGTTCTCGTTAATAATTATTGCTATGGTACATTTATACAGTCTAGACGCGTACAATAGGCCGTACGAATAAAAAGTGAAGCGTTCGCGATTTTTCTTTTTCCTTCCTCTCCTTTACCATTTTCTCTCGTTCCTCTTGTTCTAAAAAAAAACTCGACTCGCTATTCTCCACGAAAGAAAATGGTGGGCGTGACGCTTGATGCGGAACCAAGCGAAAAACTTGATCCCGCATATCGTGTCTAAATTGCTCCACGGATGATCGTTTTTAGGTTGCGGTTCAACTTTTCGTTACATAGTTTTGCCGTTGTTGGTAACAAATCGTTGATACTTTTTTTTTTCTTTTTTGATTTATTTTTATTATATTTTTTTTGAAAAATAATCGTGAAATGAAATAAGTTTCTTTATATCGAATCTTAAAGGGCGTAAACAAATCGAGCGATCAAGAGAGAGAGTTTGAGTTTAAATTAAGTGAGTGAGAAACAGTGTGATTTTATAAATTGTTAAATATAAACAAATTCAATTGTGAAGTTTTATATCAAAATTATGCAAAATTCACCTTTGAAAACTTGGATTCTAAATATCAAAATGGCGAAAATAGTTTATACGTGTTAAGTTTAGTTAACGAATTGTATTCGGTATTTACCTCACTTTATCTAACTCAAACGTAAAACATAATTCGTTAATGTACATATGTTGCATGAATCTTATCGATATCCACTTTGCAAAAATGTTTCATATTTTTATAAACATTCTATATATATATATAGATATATTGGAATGATATTAAAATATAGATTTTTAACGAAAGAAAAATAATTGTAAAATTGATATACGGACTTATTGTTTTACAATATTCGTTTATAATAAAATAAAGATCAATGAATTTTGTTTGTACAATTTGTCCACCAACATCGGCTTGGTTGGATGGATCTAATTTCAAACTGTTTCGAAATCATCGGAAGGTGAGCAGCGTGATCGTCTATCTTTTTTTTCCTTTTTTTTTCTTCCTCTCTTTATTTTAACACAACGCTTCCTTTTTTCGCAACAATCTCATTTTTAATAAGTATCGCATTACAGGTAATACAGCTTTTGTTCTTGTCTAATTACATCTAGATAGCACTGTTTGCTTTTAACCTACGTTTACGACTGACAATTTATTTACAAAGTGAACGCGTATTTAAGAATCCTGCACATTCCGATTTGCCCTCTATATCCGATTAATTCGAGATCGGCGAAACACAATTTAACATTTGAAATTATTTTTAACAATTCATACAAAATATCTCGTGAGTATAGAATTAAAAGTTGATGCATCACTTTCAAAAATCACATCATTTTTGGAAGACAATTTCATTTGATACACAAATCTGTGAAATGTTTGTATTTCGAGAAAGAAAGGAGAAAGAAAAAACTTGAATATGTCACAAGCAATACGAGAATTTAATTTTTAAACATTCCCTTTGAAATCGCATCAAAGAACGTAAAAATATGTTAAATTTCTTCTTTAAAATAATTACGAACAGAATAAAAAAAAAACAGGGGTTTCAAAGTGAGATAATTCTTGAAATCTGCTGTAGTAGATTATAAAGAGAAGCGGTGAACTATAATTGACAAATGAAGAGCGTGCAAGATCCCAATTTAACTGGCCCATCCCATAAAGGTTTAGGGGGCGATGCCTTTCCGGCACGTGATCAATCGTCAAAATTTGCAATTTCGTTGCGTGCCGGCAAAAGACATGTAGAAGAATACTTGTCATTCTCCCCTCGTTTCCGCTTACTGTTGATGACCGCGTCGTTCGCCTAACCAGCGAATTCGTTTACGAGCTTCCGGTTGCGCGTCGAATCCTTCGAATCCCCTTTAATACGTGCCATTGAACCCAAGAGGCGAGAGATTCCGTTTCCTAAAGTCGTAAAACATTTCGACACGGAAATGGAGAGGAATTTCAATTCGAGCGAGGACGGTACATATGTTTTGCAACCATTAATAGATAACGATAGATTCTAAGAAAATTGAAAAATTTTAATTATTTTCGAATTCATTATTCGAATGATGGTGGTGGCACTTTGAAATTTAATATCGTTATTTTTTTAACCCTTTGTATTTTATTAAACAAAATTTTGTTTAAGAAAGGAGATATCAAAAGCGCGATAGCAAAAAGTATTTTTTATTCTCCGTCCGAATAAATAATTTATATTGAGAATGAAACGGTGCCTTGGTCGATTCTGTAACGCGTTAAATCGCGTTAAATCACGTTATAATTATAGTTATAATATTATCGTATATTACAACGTATAATGATAAAATTAAAGTGTCAAACGGTATTCGAACGTTTCGCTGTAATTTCGCTTCGTGGATTCAATAATCCGCAAAATTCCCGCGTATCTATTAAATGGAGAATTTCGTGAATTCGAGGAAAGCGAGCGTAACGAGGAAGCTGATTGCGATCCACAGGCGAAAAGTATCTAGAATAAGCTCGATTCGAGTCGAGAAATGCACGAATATCAGTCTGAAATACAACACGTTGCACTCGTTGTTGGCGCGTTGAACGTTTGACAATGTTCAAACGGCCCCGGATTTCCTGATTAATTAACGCGGCATTGATAGATCGTCCAACCGAGACGGCAGCTCGATCTTGATCAATTTTATCGACGAGAACAGCCAGTGTTGGCGAATATAAAGCTCAATACGGATCAATTGATTTTGTTGCACTCGAGTTGTTGGATAGTTATCACAAAGTTTGCGAATATTTCTCGAACACATCAAAGACTAGTGACGATTTTCAATCGCTGTACAACCAAAACTTTAGGATGAGAAGAAATAAAAAATTTGATAAATTGAAATTATCAAAGCGTTGGTAATAATAAATATGCGACAAAATTCGAACGAATGCTCGTATCAAGTTTAAAAAATAAATAAATCGTGCACGTGTGATATGATCAAATTGAATATTTTCGGCGAAGAAATTTTAGATAATCGTTCTTCTATTTTTACATTCAAAAAATTCGTATCGGCTTGAAGGCAGTTTTAAATGTAATATTTAGTTAATAATTTTTAAAAATAAATTAGATAGTTGTTCGTTTGTTTGTTTGTTTTTTTTTTTTACGACAAAATAGATTTGTGAATTTAAAAATTTTTCTTTAATAATTTAGCATAAATGGTAAATTTTTCAATATAAGGCATCGAATATTTAACTAGAACAAAAAGTTGGAATTATAATACAATTATAATGTTAGTTTTGTATCTTGAATGAAACTACAAGAGCGTGATCAAACTGAATAAATCATTAATGGTAAAATTTTGTCGTTGAATTTTTTTCAGAATTTTTATTTTTTTTTTTTTTTTTTTTGAAAGTTTTTCAACATTTGACGCTTTTTATTGACACAAATTTTAAAATTCTGCGGTAAAAATTTGACTTGACCGTAAATTTTTTTTAAATATGCTTGGAATATTTTCAGATTTTTTTGAAAGATTAGAATATTAAAAGAAAAAAAAAAAGTGGCTGGACATAATAATATTGAGCGTGTGAAATATATGAATATGCATAAGATATTTATCTTAAAATATTTTTATGATAATTCTCGTGAAAATTATTTCGAATATTTAAACTAAAAGTAGAGCAATGCAGATATTTATTTATCAAGGGATAAAAGAAAAATGTTTGTCCAAAAGCAATAAAATACAGAAACAAACTGTTCCAACTTTTGAATTTTACTAAAGCGACAATATTTATCTATCTATGCCGGAAAACATTAAAACTTTTATACGTTATATAGCCACTATAAATGTATCCTATTTCTCTTCCTTCTAAAACATAATTCCTAACGAAATCAGATAGATATCCAACATAAAACTAACATTATAGAATATTTTCGCGAATATTCGGTAATTTTTCAAGCTATTCTTTATTTCCTTCTTTGACGATAAGATTTTCTTCTAGGTAGACATTCTATTTGTTAATTTATTTATTTGAAATCATATCCATGCTATGATTTTAAAAATCGATTTCTAGCCATATGATCATGTATAAAATAAGATATATAAAACAATCTATGATGGACAATTATCAAGTATTATCTAATAAAGAAATATAATAATATCGATGGAGAATAATTTAATCGAATTGCATTGAATTTTCGCGTTATTGGATTCGCAGTGGACATATTTAGATTCGATTTTATTTGTCAATTCATACGTGCACGAATTTTAACGGGACAACAACAGAATCTTATTTTTCGTTATACGTGTTAACAATCTTTAACATCTCAAATCTCCTCCCCATCGTACAAAACTCCATACGTTATAAAAGATTCTCCATTATCCTTAATTACATCCTTAATTACACCGTGTTTCGTTTATAGAATCGAATCGAATCCCAATTGCAACAAACGAACTCGACAGGCAACGACGGTTTATTTTTACGATATTTTCCAAATCGAGTTGGACGAATGATCGGGCGAATACGAGCAGATACCGATATTCCCAATGGATCGCAAGAAACAGTTTGCTCGACGCGATTATTCACGGGGGCTTTTCTCGCTAGACGAATTGCGAGGGTGTTTTCCAACAGCTGGCGCAACAGGGGAGGGCGCTCTTCAGCGTGTCCTTAAAGGCCTCGCGGAAGTCGCGGTTGAAGTACGCGTAGATAAGCGGGTTCAGGGCGCTGTTGAAGTAACCTATCCAGAATAGGACGGACACCACCGTGTCTGGACAGTAGCAGGCCTCGCCGCACAAGGACGTGGTTAGATACCTGGAAAAGAAAAGAGGATTGATGGAGGATTTTAGGAGCATAGTAAAATTAAAATTTTCTTCTTTTTCTTCTTTTTCTAATATCGAATATTTATTTCAATAAATGTTTATGGTAAATTAATTCGTTCGATGATGCGAATTTAGAATTCCGAGGATGGAAGATTTAGGATTTTTTTATATTGTAGACGAAGAAAGAAAGAATTTTTTTTTAGATATTTAAATTTTTTTTTTTTTTGCGTATATTATCATAGCATTTTTGATAAGTTTGTAATTGATAATCTTTTACTTATCGAACGATCGATATTCGTTTTTTTAATTTTTGATGGTTCATCGAATGTGTTAAATTTAATAAGTTTAATAATTCGCAATCCCATCACGTTGATCATATGCAAAAAAAAAAAAAAAAAAAGAAGAAAAGATAGCAGCATAACACTTTTCACCTAGAAATTGCCATTCTCTTTGTTTTCTATTGTTTTTGTCTTTTTGTCTTTTTGTTGCTATATCATATTTCGTGTCGAATTTTCACGATACGAAAGGCAATCTTTTAAATTCTTTTAAGATATCTTTTAAGATATTTCGAGGGATGCGCCATAGGCCAAAAAATGGAGACTGATTCGAAGAAACATTGCCTGGTCACGTTCTGTCATTTTAATTAAAAAATTGTCCACAAACTCGAAACGTTGTTCTGACGGGATAAATGAGAATTCATTGCTCCCGTAAAAAGTTGTCTGATGTTCTCGCGGATGCTCGGATTAGAATGGATTCGCTTCTTCGCGTGGGGTAATGTTTTAAAAATTGACAATGAAACGAGATTTCTTCCTTTATTTATAAAAGTATTATTTTTATAAAGATTATCCGAGCTTGTGTTGTAGTATATGTGGTTATATCAAGAGATTGTAATTTCGTGAAAATTTTAAACAATTTTTTATCAAATACGAAACAAGGATTTAATCAGTATTTTTAAGTTGAAAAGATAAAGATAGAATTAGTTTTATTAGGGAATATTTTTGTATCGGGGATTTAATTTTTTCATGACTAACGACAGAACATCATCGTAGGTAAATTTCATTCTGTTACTACTTTGAAATCTATTAATTTAATGTTTCGTTGTAAACAATTTAATTTTTGTATAATTTAACATCATACGCAATTTATATTTTTATTTATCGTAATATCTTCCATCTAAAGAAATTTTCCTCGAATTAATTTTCTGTAGTCGAAGAAATAAGATTGAAAAACTCAAATTCAAATATCATTCCAAAGATGAGTAACGAATGATTCGAAATTATATAGCTGTCAGAAATAAAATTATACGCATATAAAATTATTGATTATTGATAAAAGAAAGAAGTTAAAGATGGCCAGTTAAATCGATGATGCATCGTGACAAAATATTATTAATAAATATATTAAAATGAAACAATTCTATCTTTATCTCGTTCCAAATTTTATTCTCGTGAAATTTATTTTTGGAATCACTCGCATTTTTTCGGCAGCATGTTGTTAATCGGTTCTCGTTTTTCTTAATAATTTCACAAGCTTGAAATTAATTTTTACATGGCAAAAAGTAAAAAGTAAAGACTTTTTGCGCTATATTAAATTCGTATAATATTTAATACTTAATGTTTATAAATGAAAATTATTGGCCACGTTGAATTTACAGTTGAAATAAACGTCGAAGTACGAATTGGAGCCAAATGACTTCAGAAACAAAATTATTACCGTATTACGTTTTGCTCAGCTTCTTGCTCCATCTTTAAGATTGATTACAGTTTGATGATAGTCCCATTCATCTTGGAAATAAATTCACGAAACTTTGAATGTAATTCTTCATTGTTTATTAAGATCGGTGTAACGAGCAATCACCCTTATCCTTATGAGAAAGTTTCTTGATAATTTGTACAGATTCTATTCGTTTTTATAATACGTCATATCGAATATGCGAGTATAATAAATATAATATAATAGCGCGTGTGGCCAAATTGGTCGATTATGATGATCGATTACAATTTTTGCTTCTTGTTCAAGATTTTCATTTCGTTTATCAAGTAGAAGAGATTAATCTTACCGTCGAGTCTCTTGCCGAGTTTCTTCTTTAAATTTCGTCTGTTTTATAAACTGTAATTTAACAAACGTGTAACAAGATCAAATTTCTTCCAAGTTCGTTCCATTCGAAAAGAGTTATTTTCAAAACAAAGTTAAAATAACAAAGTTATTAAATGTTATTAAATGTTAGTAGAAAATTGAGAATGGCATAAAAGAACTTTGTTCTCTTCTCTTATTGTATACGCATTTAAGTGTATAGATTATTCAAATTAAATAAAAAATGTCATAAATATAAAAAAAGAGATTTAGATTTGGATAATCTACGGTAAATAAAGATCGTTTAAAATTTCCCCCCCCCCCCAAAAAAAAGAAAAAACAGATAATTAAGTGAAAGATTAAACAAAAAGAATAATTAAACAATGAGAGACAATGAGCAGCAGATTCTCCTATAAAAATGAAGCAATGAAATAATCGAGGAATCGTGAATCTTTATTGAGAAATAAACAATTGAACGGATTAAACAATCGTGTATTTGATCCACGAATAAATGAAAGATGAAATTAAAAAAAAAAAAACAATCGAGTTGTCTCTCTGTAAATTAATAATATAACATTGAAACATTTAAGGAATTATGGAATATTTCCCGGAAAAAAATAATTAGAGCAATGAAATAATTAAAGAATAAGTATCATTTCCACGAACAAATTTAGTAATTGCGTAAAAGAAGTTTCAGTTCCTTTTCAAGGAACGCATGAAACAAAAGGCATTGAAACAACTGAAAAATTATAAGTCAAATGTTATCTTTATTAATCGTTCAATTTCTAAATTGTTTAAAAACTATCTCGACGATTGTTATTCTAAATTATAGTATTTTTTTTTTTTTTTTTTAGTTGCAACTATCGTTAAATCGCGAAAAGAAAAATATTTATAACACGAACGTTTCGTTGAAATCCGAAATTTGTAAGATAATATTACACAACGTGTAGCATTTATTGTCACGTATCTATAGTTTTTAATTTGCCGAATTGAATGAAACCGATAAGAAATACAAATTTTCAATAGTGAACATTTCACGATATCGAGCAAAAATAATAGCTATACGTAAAATTTTGAAAAAAATTTATAAGTGTGTGACGAACATTATCGTGGATTCGCGGCACATACGATGACCGTCATAAATCATAAGCTCGTACAGCTCGATTAACTCGGCATGGTATTGGGCTGAGGTTTGTGGACCATGGCATATTTCGAAATGTGTCATCTTTAAAATAAATATTTTCTGCACAGTAGTTGGAAATATGGGTGTTATTTATTGTTAATAGGCGGTATTTTTTTCTTTTTTTTTTATTCAGAATATTACTTTTGAATTAATCCTCGGAAAGTGTTCTTGATGAAAAGGACAATTTATATTAACATGGAATATATGTTAATGCCAAATATTCGCTTTTGGACAAACAAAAGTTGGAACGCACTTTTTGAAATATTATATATTTCGAGCAATGTAATTTCCACGTGATTTGGTGAACATTTTAAAAGTATTCAGTATTCAAAATTTAGAGTTTTTTTAGATGTTTTAAACTTCGTTAAAGTGTTACGATATATTAGTTTTTATATTTATATAATATCGAAGACTATCCTGTACTTAGTTGTACGTTCAAGTAATTGCGGTTCGTTCAAAAGAAATTTATAAAAACAAACTTCGATCAAAGTTTCCATGTTTATATTACTTTTAAAACGAAACTTGCAAACTTTACAGTCTCTTCTGGATTCGAGAGAACATTGTGCAATATGTATTTGCATTATTTATTCAACGTGTTTGACAAGAATATATAATTCAAAGTGGAAAATTTTAAGCAACCGCTTATTCTCCAAAAAAAATTTTATCCTCTTTAAAAGAATTTAAAATTTACGATAGGGAAAAGTTTCTTCTCGTGACTTTTCTCCAACAAAATAGGATTAATTATTAAAGAGGATCCACGATAAATCGAAGAAATTTCACTGGGCGAGAATGCATAATGTATTCGATAAAAAGGTGTGTGCATTTCTTGGTCGAAAATTTTGAAATATTCACGATCGGTGGTTTCCTTATTATTCCCATCGCTAAGAAACGATATTTCTCGGGGAAAACGGGTGCAATCGCATCGCTTAGTCAAGCAAATAGTTAGATTCGACGCGAGGAGATGAGTAAAACTCGCGATAAACTTGATACACGCGGTTCGGGTTTGCATTAATAATACATGCGGTTGGCTCGACTTTCGCGAGTATTCACCGACTCTGGAAACTTGTTCGTCGATGAAACGAAAGCCCGGCGAACAGCTTGCAGCTGGCAAAACTCGTTCGTACGCGAATCCGGGATTTTTCCGTCTTGGTCTTATAAAGGGATTCTAGCGAAAGGGTAGAAGTAAGCAGAATATTATGGAAATGTATATTTGTGTGTAGAATAAACTTTCCACACCAAAAAGAAATAGTATAATTCGGACAGTTGTAATAGATTGAATCTTTTTCTTTTTTGAAATTAAAAAAATAAAAGGATAAATTGTGTGATCGTACTTTTTTCTCAAATGCGATATTTTGTTCTATTTTCTTTTCTTTCTTTTTTTTCTTCCGTTGTTAAACTTCTTGGTACATCTTGAATCTTCTCGCGTTTACGTGAAAGATATTGGAATAATATAGTCGATTATTAGTGATGGTATAAATGTATCGGAAAAAAAAAATGTCGTTTTTGAAGAAGAGATTTTATTTAAAGATAATTTGATTGCGCGTTTAACAACTTTTCAATCGATTATATTCAATCGATTATCAAATATAAAAATACAAATGTTCGATTAGATTCGAATTTCGAGAAAATTCACTCGATCGCTTAATTATAGTTAATTATAGTATTTTCCGCGAAATATATCTCGTTTTGGATAATAGATATTTTGTCAATTAAATCGAAACAAAAGTAATCGTAATTTGTAATAAAAATAGTAATTCAAAATAATGAACATAAAGGAATAGTTGTTGGAAAATTAGAGTCATTATTAAAGTACTGACTCGTTGGTGCTTACCAAAGGAAAAATGGCAGCCAACAAAGAAGGAATGCGCCCATTATTATTCCGAGCGTCCTCGCAGCTTTGTGCTCGGCTCTCCAACTCTTCGTTTGTTGTCGTATCGAAGTGCCTGAAAAATCATAAATTTACATTATTAACGATAATGTAATTTACTTTCAAAATTAAAAGACTGAAGATAATTCTGATATAAAATATCAGATCTTTTGAAAGTGTTGAAAGCAAAATGTCAGATTCATGAATAGTCATATTATCGTGATTAAATAATGTGAAAAAATATACGATATAAAATTAGTAAAAAAATTTCCCAACTTTAATTCTAAAAGGAAATTTTAACACGGAAAAGTTGCAATCGTTTAATTCAAAAAAAGTTGCAATCTTTTTACACGAGGAAAGACGCCGCATCGTTACGTAAGATCATCGTTTTTGACATAAAAAGCTGTGTTAGCGTTTCAAAGACCTTCAGCTTCGTTTTAAGATTGCAGAAATGAATATATCGATGATTTCGAAATTTTAGACAGACTTGAGAAAAGGCACGCAATGTTATGCGAAACACTGCCAATTTTGACTTTGAAAGCTGTGTTATTATTTCAAAAAGTTTCAACTTCGTTTCGAGACATGCACTCGTGAATCTTTGAAACTTTAAATATTTGAGAAAAGTATGCAATGTTACGCGAAAGATTACCAATTTTGGCCTGAAAAGCTGCATTAATTTCTTTGTTTTAAAATTAACAGAGTGCATCGATGGTTTAAAAATTTTTAGATAAATTTTATATATTCGAAGAAGAACGATATAATTACGTTTGAAACAATGTATCCATTATTATCTGAGTATTATAATATTCATCATTCATTAAGGATAAAGTGTTATATAATAAAGAGAAAATAGTAAATTTTCATTTATAAATACATAAATATAATAATGATATACCAATAAAGAGTTTGATAGATAGCAAAGCTGATAGAGAATTTTATAACAAAGAAACTAATGGAGTGAAAATTTCCCGTTCTTGTTCAAAAATTCATTGAAATTTCAAAGTACACGTTAATTGTTGTTTAATATCACGAAATTTTGATATCGTGAATTATTTCATCGCATATTTCAATCCATTCTTTTCATCGCTGTACATCAATATCGGTTCGTAATATTTCATTAAAATATACAAGTATTAAATATCAAGAAACATTTAATTTTCTTATTAACAATTGTTTATTATTCAATTTCTTGTAAGAGAAAAAATTTTAATTTTCTAGTCAATTTTCAAACATTACATCTAAACAATATATTATAGCTAATATATACAAGTATAGAAATATTTTTATAATTATTCTTTTTATCTTCAGTTAAGTAAAATATTTGATCGATAAACGAACAAAAATTTTCTACGTTTAACCATCGATTTCGTTCGCGTAATATAAATATTCGAGGCAGGCACGATCGTTTTTTAACGAGATCTTTTCGTTATCATTCATTGTTCGATTGGAATGAACGCGGGTTCGCGGGTTTATTAATTAATCGCGAGAATGACAATCGTGTATCACGCACGAATTGTATCGATAAGTAATTTCAATTTTATTTTTACTATTAATTTACTATTTTTCTCTTTCTCTTTTCTCAAAAAAAAAAAAACGCATTTCTAATTTTCTAACGATCTTGAATAATTTTTGTATTTACATTTCGAAAAGATTCTAGAAATCATGATCGTAATAACTTGAATTTCGATTTTAACTTGATAATAAAATTAATAATTTATAAAGAGGGAATTTGAATGAATTCTAGATGATTTCAAAACCTTGGAAAATTGCGTTTTCAATAACTAAATTTGAAAATAATAAAAGTATTGATATTGCAGAATAGAGCGAAGAAGTAATAGAGAATCACTTGATAAATAATCTTATTTTCTTTCTTTTAATTTTATTAACAATGAGTCTAGGGTCAATTGTTACAATTATATCGCAATATTTACGTATTTTGATTTTTAGTTAAGTCATCGTGCAAACGTTTGCTCATTTATTCATTCAATATGAGAATGTTAATAAAGACATGTCGATATATGTAACCGAGAGATGCATCAACGTGAGCGATAAAATTAATATATTCGCGCGTTAAAGCAATGATACTGGTGTTTGTTTAAATACTTGTTAATTATGACGTGAATTTCATTCATTTAGCAAATATTATAAAACGTAGTTTGCATTTTATTATTTTGTGCAACGATTATCTTTGTGCGATTCGTATTTTTTCACTAATTAGTATATATTCTCGTTTTTTCTTTCTTATTTTCGATATTTTCGACATTTTCCAGTTTAAAAATATGTATTTATCCAAGTTGACGTAAATTCTTTGTATTTATATTACTCTTTTCGTACAAAACAAAAGTTGAAATTGTACAGAACAAATTTCTAGGAAATAAAGTGAAATTTATTATAATTGAAAATGATATTAGATTAAATTACTATGAAATTATATTTTAGAAAGTTTTTAATGAAATGCAACAATATGTGAAATTCATTCAATAAGAATAATTATAGTTTTTGAGATTTTACACGTACGTTAGTATAAATATCAAAATTCGATATAATGCAAATAATTTTTATTAAAAAAAAAAGATGAAAAACGAAATATTAGATATTCAATTTATAATAATTTCATCGGATAAAAAACTTTCTACAGTAAGAGAAAATATAAATTAGGCACTTTTGTATAATTAAATATTCATCAAAAGAAAATAAATTTCTTTCGATTTGTTTTTCATATATTTTTTTCTTCATATTTTTGTATTATTATTTTTACATTCTTGCTACTGGATGGTTTGTAATTAAACTTGGCCCAGATATATTACCTCATTAGCTCTGGACACAACTTTTCTTCTTGATTTAATTTTTACTTCCTCATCTTTGTTACCGATCAGATTGCAAGATCTCCTTTCACGAATAATCAATTTTCCTCTTAATTTGTAAAATTATATTCCATCAAGTTTTCCTGTTTTATACCTTTATTGCTTTTCCATTTTTTTCCAATTTAAATATTAGAACGTGAATCTGAATTATAATAATAAAATTAGTAAGTAAAAAAGAAAAAGAACAAGGAAAAGAACGAATAATATTAAAGATGAATAATCTAAATTTTCAAATCATATGGAATATTTATATATTTTTAATCACAAATAGTGATATTTTAAATTAATTCTAGAATTAATATCAATATTATTTTTAGAAATTCAAGCAAATTTTACAATGTTTTGGATTCGAAAATTTAAAGATTAAATTCGAATTCATTCATTTTTAACTTTTCATTCTTTGAATTTTAACAGACGATGAATGAATTTTCCATATTGCTCGTATCGTTATATTATTATATCGTCTTCTTCTATTCATTGACGTGAAATATATTTGGAAAGCTGTGTCCAAATATAACGAGTTGACACATTAAACCGTGAGAGTTTATGATGCGTGAATCATGATGGAGAATAAACGAACAAAGTGTTGCGGTATAATATAACAGAGACATGGAACTGTTATAGAAATAAAATCGTTTTTTAACTTTATCCTCTCTCTTTTGTACAAGTTATCCGAGAATTTTTTCTGATGCATTTTTTTTTCACAATATTATTTGAATATTTGAATAAAGTAATTTCATCTTTTACATTACGTTCTCTTTTATCCACGTTTTCTGGTAAAAATTTTTAAAGAATAATTTCGCATTTATACACGCGTTTTTTTTTATTTTATTTTCGATAATTGTAAATGATAATACTATCATCGTATTGCCAACAATGGCTTTTCAAAATTTAATTCATAATGTTTAAATTTGATTTTCTAACTTCTTTATAGATTGTTTCGTTTAATTTTACGTACGATTTATACACAAGTTTACGAGCAAGTTTATTTTACGAAACAATAAAAATATTTCACGTAAAAATAATATATTCGAATAATGTAACGTTATTTTTCAACGAATCGTGAAATATTTCCATTTCGACTAAAAAAGTGTTCTTTGCAAATTTTGCATACAATTTCGTTATTCCTCATTCGCGAATATGAATTTCGTTTTTTAATGTAAAATTCAGCTCTTTTAACGACAAGTTCGATTCAGCTTCATTTATTAAATTATATAAGGACATGAAATTTAAAGTCAAAAGAGATAAGAAATACGATTTATCGAAATAACTATACAATTATGAAAAATAATATACTTTTTAAATGGAATTTCGTTTATTATATTCTTAAAAAAAAAAGACTCGACGAACAATGAAACGTGTCTAAATTGCATCTAGTGACAAACCTCGATAAATTTGTAAAAGTTGAGAACAACTTTGGAGACATGGATCAAAATCTTTTCATCGCACGAATTTATTTCCCTAACTTGTCCCAAAGTTAAACTTTCATTCCACAAAGAATGGAACGAAACAAAGGAATCAAATCGTAAAACGAAACTTGTCCCTAAATATTTTCGCTCTTTGCGAAAGATAACGAATTAATTTCGACAGGATGGTGTTCGAGCAGATATTTAGATAACGTATAACTCGAGAACGAGAAATCGGTCGCGTCTGAAAGGCGAAAGCTGTAAAGTTGGCGTGCTCGAGCGCAGTGAGCTGGATTTAGGTTGGTTGGTCGATGCTCACCGGCTTCTCTCCGTTTTCGTACGATCGATGCGCTCGTCTATCAAGATGCAGGAAGCTTCAACCTCGTGGCATGGCCGATTTAAATGTACACACGCAATTACTCGTCGTTCTATCGTCAACACGTCGACGAATTTATACGGTTCGAACTTTGAAAAATAATGGAATACGGGATATGAAAATGAAAATTCATGATGGAATTGAAATTCGGCCTATATTTATTAATCGTTCTTTGTAACAACCATACCTTCGTTGAATACAAAAGAATTTCAGAAGAATCGATATCCTTTATGAAATAATGTCGCGTACCGACGAATTATCAATCGTCGCGTTATTAATAGCGAAAATTCGATCGGTTTTAAAATTTTCTAACTTCTCGTCAACATTCGTAGAAAACGCGCATCATTTCATTTTACCAATTAGAGCTGTATTCGAATAATTTAATATAAGAATTTTTTTTTTTTTCTAAATTAAATCTCAAAGGCAATTA